TCTCTACCCTGTTTGCTAAAGCCTCTCTCCCTCCAACGTCTCCTCCTGGCGTCTGCGGCCAGCCCCCACCCCCACAAGATGGCATATCCTGTGACCCGTGGCCCCTGCTCGTGCACGCTCTGGGGGCTATGCAGCGTCCCGGCCTCGACAGCTGGTGTTCTCAGGTCCCCTGGAGAGAGGAGAGGTGCAAGCCCCTAATCCCACCACACCACCTCCTACGGGAAGCCCTCCCTGGTCGTGTCTCCTACTTAGTGCTCAGCAGGGGCCCAGCGGAGCCTGCCCCCGGGAGCAGCCACACAGGCTCCCCTGGGTGCTAGAAGCAGGTAGCCCATTACTTCTGGGCCCTACCCAGCCCTCCCGCCCCTCACCCAGCATTGGTACATCCAAGCAGGTGGCCTGAGGACCGGCTCCGGGGTCACAGAGGGCAGGTCTGTCCACACCACCACCGGAGGCAGTGGAAGACCACGCAAGACAGCAAGTCAGTCAGGGAAGGGAGCGTCTGCCTCGGAGCCGGTGAGCATCGGGTGGGGGGAGGGGCACCAGGGGCACAGAGCCATCCTGCTGCTCGGAACCCAGCCACCCTGCTCGGGTGTAAGATGCCCCAAGCCCCCCATGGGCTGTCAAACTGCCCCTCTGCACACCGTGTTTATTTCAAGGGCTTGTGACATCAGAGGGCGGGGACACTGTCATCACTCTGGTCTCGCAGCATGACGTCAGAGGCAAACAAACGCCTGCACCACGGTCTGTACACTATTTACAGTTCGGGGTGAATACGAAATAGATACAAAGAGTCAGCATTTCTACAAAGGCCTCCCAGGAGCCCTCCACACCTCTGGGCTTCAGGAAGCATCTAGAAAGGTCTCAGGGCCGAGTTCCATCCACAAACAGCAGAGGCAGGGGCACCTGCTTTATGGGGTGCCCCCTGAATGTGAGGGCCAGCAGAAGAGAGTGTGCCCCCCTCCCCCCCCCCGCTTCTCTCCCGTGTTAACGTGCTGAATCCGTGAGCCTAGTACAAGGGACAAGGTTAGTTCACGATGCTGCCCCACCTGGCTGGTTCGTGTGCTCGGGGACCAGGGGCAGCCACAGGGCAGTTCCCGCTCTAACCAGATGGGCTTCTACAGAGCACCCTTTGCAGTGTGGGGTCCCAGAGCGCAGGCACCTTTCCAGCCTCCAAACGAGCTTGAGGCGAGCGCCCCCGACGAGGGGAGCGCCCTCCCGTACAAGGGGCCAGGCGGGCAGGCCGAGGGAGGCCTCTGCCACCTGGCCAGGGCCCCTCCATCCTCCAGGGAGGCCCAGCGAGGCCATGGCTCATGAGTTCACGTGGGCCAGAGGGTGCCGGTGAGGGACAGGGTGACGCCCGTGTGGCCAGGGAGGGCAGAGGGAGCGGTCAGGGCCCCAGGGTTACAACCGGACACCCGGGCCTCCCCAGCCCAGCCCAAGTCACGTCGCGGCATCCGGCCGAACGGAGGCTCTGGACAGCCGCCGGGCCGGCTGACGTGAGGCGCGTGGGCCCCTGACGGGCCCCGGTGGCCCCTCTGCCAGAGCTGCCCAGGAGCCCGGGACCGCCGGCCACCTGCCACTCAAAGTTGTTAGCTTCTCAGGGCATAAAGCAGACAGATCCAGAGAGAGAGGTCAGACAAAGGGCCACCAAGGTCAGAAATGCAGCGTGCACGCACACTGGGCAAGCGTGTGAGAGTGCATGCATGTGGGCGTGTGCATGTGCGAGTATGTATGGGTGAGTGTGCATGTGTGAGCTTGTGTGCGAATGTGCACGCGTGCACGTGAGCGTGTGCATGTGAACTTGTGTGTGTATGAGTGTGTGTGAGCATGTGTGGGTGACCGTGCGCGTGTGAAGTGTGTGTGTGCGCACGTGTACACGTGTGAGCTTGTAAGTGTGTGTATGAGAGAGCCCGTGTGTGCGCATTGTGTGCATGTGTGGGTGGGCTGCACATGTGTACGTGTGCACGAGCGTGTGTGCACGCATGTGAGCATGTGTGTGCCAAGTTACATCCCCGTGGGTGTGCTTGTGTATGTGCGTGTGCTGCACGTACGCAAGCGTGTACATGAGCACAGGGCCATGGGCTGGTGGGGGCACATACTCTGGCCTAACAAGTGCCCTTGTCTTAGGAAACCTTTGCCACATGTGCCAAGGGTGACCGGCCGGCTCCGTACTCCCATCACGCACATGCCCAACCAAGGGCTCAAGCTCCCTGCGGAGGCCTCCAGCCTTTTCCTGCTATGCTTCTCTGAGGGTGGGACCCCGGGGCAGGGGGTGGGTGCCGTGAGGGACACGCACCGCCCAGGCTTCGGTCCAGGCGTCCCAAGAGGGGGCCTCTACGACATCATCTCCCAAAGCCGAGCCCCTAAACCATCCCCCAGAGCTGGGTGCCTCCTCCCTTCGGAGGGGCCAGAGATCTCAGGCAGGAGGTCTCTCGTCCCCCCTGCGGACGTGGAACATGCCTGAGACCCCTCCTGCTGCGGCCTGAGAGACCACTCCCCCTGTGCAGCGGCTCTGTGGACAGGGAGCACGTCTGAGGCCAGCTCCTCCCCCCTGCAGGGACACACAACACAGGGAGCATGTGGGACGGGACAGCAACCTTTCTCTCGGGACAACAGGCGCCTCCACCCAGGGCGTGGAGTCCTCGATGGCCGAGACCCAACAAGGCGGGTCTGTCACTGGCGACATGCTCTAACTCTCACAGGGCCTCGAGATCCGACCCGGCCTTGCCCGGCTCAGGGGCCGCCCGCTCCTGCCCTGCCTGGCGGTCTGCAGCTGGAACCACCCTCCCCCGTGCCGGGAGGGCGAAGGGGGCTCAGCCCAGAGGGAGATGGCGATGGGAGAGGCACCTTCCCCGGGCCACTCCGCACAGGCCACACCAAGGCCCGCGGCGTCTGCACGGGCAGGGACTCTACCCACCACCCTGAGGCCCGAGGCCGGAGAAACACAGCCCTGGAGAAGGACGGTCCTCAGCATGAGGGAGCCAGCACGGCCCCAGAAGCGCTCCTTCCCGGGCCCCGTGGCAACTTCCACACCTTCCCCTCCCGGAGGCTGGGCTCTGACAGCAACAGCGGTTTCCACCTCTGAGCTTGTGCCCTCCGCCCTCCGCCCTCCACCCTCTGCTGTGGGCAAACACAGACCCAGCACAGCCACCTGCTGCCCGGCCAGCAAGAGGCGCCTATGGTGGGACCCGGGGTGTCCTGGCAAGGGGAGGGGGCAGGCACAGAGCCCATAGCAATGGCCCCTGCCCGGTCAAGAGACATTACTCCCTAAAGAGCTCTGAGCACCCGGACCTCATGCCCGGGGCACATGACCCTCAGATACTGTTTTCCAAGCCCTTCTCCGAGGACAAAGGCAGACTCTCTCGCCAACCACTTCTGGTCCGAGTCATGACAGAGCTCCCCCAGGACCTAGTGTTTGGGGGGAGGTCACTCCATAGTGGGCTTGGCCGCGTCCAGCCCGACCACACACAGGGGTCACTGCCGCAGAGATAGCCAGGTGCCCAGGCTGCGCTTCCAAATGCCAGATGCCTCCCACCCCACAGACTGCTGTTCCTGGCGCCAAGGTGCCAACCACAGGAGACAAGGGCCCCTGCTCCCTGAGGCTCAGGCTGGAGATGGTCATCCTGGACTCCCAGGATACCAAGAAGTCACAGCCAAGGGACCAGTCAGTGCAGAGCGGGTGGGTGGACAGTCAGCCGCAGCGGGGACGAAGGAGGCACCCTACAGGACAGGGCTGCTTCAGCTCCACGGGGGGAGGGGGCCCCCCAACCTCTGGGGGGCTTTGAAGGCTTTCCCCAGGGGTTATAGCATCGTCCTGCCCTGGGTCCTGTTGAGGCACCAGTGGGGGAGCAGTGAGGCAGGGCCCCCAGGGAAAGACAGCACGTGAACCTGCTCACCATGACCTACCCGGCCCTGGGGCCTAGAAACACCAGCCCGCAACCAGCCAGCATGCTCCCTGCACACGGGGCTCTATCCGGTGCTGGCCGTGGCCTGGAGCACATGGGGGTGCCCATCCCCAGGTCTCCGGTGGCTGCAAGAGCCCCCCGCAACGGCCCCGTTCCAGAAGCCTGTGGAGCAGACCCCTCCCCACAGGAGCCGAGGCCGGGAGGCCCTGAGGTCTCACCCCCTCCTCTGCAGGCCAGCAGCTCCCTGGAGGAGAGAAGGCATCATCGTGCCAGCCTTGCGGGGACAGAGGGACAAGACCAAGCCACGCCCACGGGGCAACAGTGCTTCCTTCAGCCCAAGCTCCCTCCCCACGGGCCTCAAGGCCATCGATCCTGCCCCTCGCTGCCACCCTCACCGGGCCCTGCTCCTTGACCGCACGCCTCTTCCCTACCGCCAGGGGTCTGTCCTCTGCCATCACCCCTGCTCACACCCCAGCCAGCGGTCTGCAGAGAGGGCACGGCCGGCCTGGCGGCCCCTTGTTAAGAAATAACTTCTGCCAGACTTCACTTCTCGAGACCAAGGCGCCCCCGCCCACGTCGCTGAGGAGCGTCCCGTCTGCAGACCTGGAAAGCCAGAGTCGGGGGGAGGCGGGCGGGCGGCCTCACTTCCGCGGCCCGGCCCAGCCCACGTCGCCGAAAGGGCCCTCCCCGGTGGCGGAGCGCGGCGGGGGCCCGCACGGGGTGCACAGGTCCGAGTCCGTGTCCGACTCGCCCTCCGCGATGTAGGGTCTGACTGTGGCGCAGGGCGCCGCGGCCGCGTAGCAGCTGTGGAGGCCGTCCAGGTTCTCCTTGGACTGGGAGATGCTGAAGCCGCTGAAGGAACGTTCCAGCTCCTCGTGGTCCACGGACGGGATGGAGATAGACGTGTCGCTGTCCCGCAGGGCGGCCTCGTGCCGCAGGAACTCCGTGCTGGCCCTGTTGCCCCCGCTGCAGGCGGACAGCGAGCGCTCGTGGGCGGGCGGAGGCGGGATGCGCACCAGCGAGCCGTGGTCGCCCACAGGGGAGGTGCCGTGGCCCTGGCGCGGGTGGCACTGCTGCTGCCACGAGGTGGAGGGCGGGCACTGGGCCGGGGGCGCCGAGAAGTTCTTCTGGCCCGTGGAGCTGGCGGAACGGATCAGCTTGATGATGCAGCCGTTCCTGTCCCCGTGCTCGCGGCTGTCCTCGGGGCTGTGGTAGGGCGGCGCCGGCTCGGGCTCCTTGGCCCCGAAGTACGCCTCCGTCTCCGTCGGGGGGATGCCCATGCGCTGCATGTAGATGTTCACCAGAAAGTCCAGCTTCTTCTCCATGGACAACACCTGAAACAGGGGCCGCTGGACCAGGCCTGGAGCTGCCGGGAGGCGGGCGGGCACCCTCCCCCGCGTGGGCGCAGAAGCAAACGCACGAGGGGCTCTGCCCCTGACCCCACCCGCCAGCCTGTGTGGCCTCTGGGCCGCCTTGCTGTCCACCGTGGGTCCACCCCTTGGAGCGAACCGTCCAGAGGGAAGGAAGGGCCGTGGCCTCCCCCGTCCCCCCCC